ATATTTAAGCTCTTTTACCAAAAAAAAAAAAAAAAAAAAAAATAAGGAAACAACAGCAGGCAGAGCAGAGCTTGTGACGAGCATTCTGCACGAACCATTTTCACGGGTTTCTTTTCCTGGGGCCTCACCTGTTCTTGCTGCTGGCGAGCAAGGTCCATTTGCTGCCGTTGTTTCTCAATTTGTGAGGCTGCCAGCTTTTTCTGCTCATCGTGGGCAGCCAGGAGCTGCTCCCGGAGGCTGATCAGCTGCGTGATCATGGTCGAGAGCTGTCGCTCTTTTTCTGCCAGGCTTTCTGGTGTACCTAAACGTGGAGGGGGGAAAGGTGCATTTGTAAATAAAAGGCAGGTAATAGTTACCAAGAAATATTTACTCCCCCACCTCCAAAAAAATTGTTTCATTGCCAACGGGATTTTTTTTTTTTTCCAAACGGTTTTCTACCAACAAATCTCAAAAGAGTGTGTTATATAGATTTGCTGTGCTCTAAGCAGGGGAGGATGTAACAGAAATGGGAGCAGAAAAGATAGAGAATATTTCCTTTTTTCTAGCAGGGATTTATTCTGTATGAATCCCTGTATTTTCTCCATCTAAATCTGCCCACTGTGATAAATACACCCATAGTTTATAAGACATAATTTAACCTCAAGTTTATATAGTTTCTTGGTTTTTTCACTCCAAGTATGTACAAATGCTAAAAAAGAATTTTAGAGATGCTGTTTGGTGGAAGAAGCAGTTTAAGAATTTATTGATTGTTTCTCCAAAATACCCATATATCTGGTAGGTCATTTAGGTAAATGTAAGCTTTGGTAGTGGAACGTGTATTAAAAATGAGCTTTACTTGTCCCCAAGAGAAATGGCTAACCTGAGAAAATAGCTTAAGAATTTTCATTTAACTTTCAAAGTTTACTCTACAGAGAGCACTTAATTAATATGAAACTACGGTACATTTATTCTTTGCACTAATGATGCTTAATGGTCTGTTTATGGGTAAATTGCATGGGTCTCATAAGTGGAGAGTACAGGGTCCTTTTCCAAATCAATCTGAAAATATCCCATCTTATATAGGAACATATTACTCTGTCACAAACAGCAATGTCAGTTCCTATATTTGAGCCATACAACACATTTCCTTTTGTGAGCACCTCAGACTCACAGGTCTATGAGAGATAATATAAATACAACGAGGAAGAAGTTCAGGAATATCTGAAGAGAATCTGAAAGAGGTTTAGAGTTGAAAGTGGGATAAATAAAGCAATTTAATGTTGTAGAGTGGAACTGAAAATTAGAGACAAAGAAAACCAAATTAAGAATTATTCAGGTGTGTAGTCTGCCACAATGATGTGAGAAGTGGCACAAAAGAGAGAATTCAGAAACTTCCTTTCTTCTGCTCAAAAGAGAGGACTGTGATAAAGAAGTCACAGGGCTTTTGAAGAGGAAGAAAATGTGTGAGCAGCAGAACCTGTGAGGGAATGGAGCAACTGTCACAAAATTATGACTCCAGCTTCTTCCCAGGAATAAGATGGATATCTTCTAAATAAAAAAAAGAAAGAGGTTGATATGCTTCACAAGGAGCAGGAAGACAAAACTGGCTACTGCTAAGAAGATGACAAACCCAAGATTATCTCCTGCTGACATCGTGGGGCCAGTAGGATTCCTACACAGGTTTTCATTTGCAAAAGCAGTGTACAAGAAAACCTCTGTCTGAAACACTATGTGGAAAAAAGAAACGGCATGGCTTAAGTCATTCACTCTAAACAAACTCTGAGAAGCAAAGGGTACCTCATTTTCTGTACATTTATTAATTGCATTTAGCAATGCAAAGTACTGAAAAAGATGAAATTTCTTATTCAATATTAACTATCTTTGTTTTTAAAGTTTCCAAGGACCTGATGTTTCCCTATCCTCTAACGCCTAGCACCAGTATACATATGAAACTGGTCTCCAGAAGAAGAAAAATGTGCAGATTCTGTTGCAGTAGAAATTTTAGAAAGGGTTGTTGGTGACTGCCTTGGTCACAAGAGCTATGAAGGGTGTCTGAAGCTGAATCTGAAGGACACTCCACCACCCAGACCAACCAAGGATTTAAAATCCTTAATGTGCCACGAGTGACTGAAGCAATAGAAGAGTTCTATGCAAAAAGCTGTTACAAGACCAAAACAAAAACAAAAACAAAACCATTTTGGAAGTACTCTTAGGCAGGTGTGTGGCCAGGGGAGTGTCTGCACTGGAAGTCCTGCCTTGGCAGGATCCTTCAGCACATACTGAGCTCCGTGCTGACATCTGTTCAATCCCCTGCAGCCCCAGTACAGACCTACCTTAACCCTCCCAAACTGGGTCACTCGGTCTTGAAGATTTTTCAGTACGGTTCAAGGGTTATTTAGGTGGGTTTGAATTCATTTCCATGACTCTTCTGCCAAAGGAAAAACTCCCTCGCCCGTTGTGATGAGATCAAGCACCCCACCCACCCATTTAAGAAAGCCAATGGGAACAACCTGCAGCCTCCAGTGATGCCTATTGTCCTCCCCTGCCACCTGGGAAACAACAGCTCGAGCCTTTCACATCTGTCAGGCAGCTTTGGCATCATAATGCAAGCCCCCGAGCTTACAGTCATAAAATATTTTACACACCCAAAGCAGGTATTAATCTCCCACTGCATTTCCATATTATTCTGTAGAGCTCGTACTTGTTTCATCACATCAGTAGAAAATTACCACAAAGAGTGCCTGCTAAGGCTACAAAATATTGTTGTTTTGCTAGGATTTCTTAGAACCATTTGATATGGTTGCCACAAATTTATAGTCTTCTTTTTTTTTTTCCTTCCTTTCCCTGATTTCTTTACAATAACAGGCAGAAGTAACTGTTCTTATTCAGGAATCCACAGTAATTGTTTTTCTTTCCTTCTCACCCACCCCGAGAAACACATCTGAAATAAACGACCCCATTTAAAGTACTCTGCTCTTTAATTTGTACCCTGTTATATAATCCAGCAACAGAATAGAACTGATGACCACAAAATGTACACTGTGCTCCTGGAAAATCATGAGACCTCCAAGAAGCTGCAGGACACCTCACCAAGCACTGCTCCAGACAAGAGCAAACAGAAGATGAGAATGTTGTTGTATGAACAGTGTGGGTGAGGGAGGCATAATTTAATTTTAGAGTGGAAAATCCCGACCATTATTTTACAGTTTAAATACCAATAAAAACCAACTTGCTTAGAATGCAGACCAGATTGAGCTGATCTGGCTGGGACAAGAGAGGTCATCAGTAGCTGTGTGCCATCATCATCTGTTTTGCATCCCCTTACTGCAGAGAGCAATGAGATTCCTAAACTCATTACCAGTAAATAAACTTCTGCTGCTGACTGAAAATATCTATAAATAAAACGAAAATACAGCTATCTGTAAAATGTATTTGCCATAAAAACAGATAAAACAAAAAGCTTAGTAAAAAATGAACAGTAAATATGCCAGCTTCCATAAAATATTATATACCACAGCTCTCTCTCTGTTCTAATCCTATTCTCTTACTCCAAAGACAGCAGTGCATTTTTTTCCATGGGGTCTTCCTTATCCCCAAAACACATCTGTCTTGAGTTTCTCTCAGATTTGTCAGGTGGATCAGTGCTCCCCAGGGCCTGCTCCATCTGAAGTATTTTAATTTGACTAAACACCTGATTTATTTTATCTCTCCGATGAGAAAGGCAGTTTGTCTTAATAGAGCCTGTCAGCCCACAGTCCCATTCACAGCAATTTACAGGCAGCCAGGGATGCTGGAAAAGAAGAGTGCTGTGATTCTGTATTTTATCCTCCTCCAGAAAGCACCTAAAAGCAGCTATTCACTGCTACTGCATGTGGCATTTTAGAACTGAATTAGCTTTTTATTCAAGTAACTACACTTGTTGTGAATAGCTTATCTGTAAAATTGCTACATTCACTACTGATTTTATTAACCTTTGGCTCTATCACAAAATGGTCTTCAGTTAGGAAAGACCTTTAAAATTGACACATTTTTCTTAGGGGCCTTTATTTCAGTGACTACAGATATACTGAATTTGATCCATTGACTCCCTTTACCAGCAGTATTTAAAATTTTGAGTGTTGGTGGGAAGCTGATAGTGTTTAAGGACTTCTCTTTAAAATGAGTGTGTGTCAGTCTCATCAAAAGTTCAGGGAAAAAATGCTATTATTTCTAATAGTACTTTGGGTCTATCCCTACTTTTGTGATAATACTCTGGTTATAGTAATATTTTAAGTTTTCTCTGTGTGCTTATTGTTTTACTCTCTAGTTTGGATTTCAGCACAAATTGAGATAAAATACTCAGACAGAAGAGAGCTAAGGCATCAAAGAGAACTTTTCAGAAATTCTGGTCATAGGTTAATCTAACCAGGAGACAGAAAATAAAAAGTAGCTATAAATCTGCTGAAAAAGAGAGAAGAGTTCAACTTGTGGTCTAAAATTACATTTAGAAAGAATTCTGCTTGTGAACTCTATCTTTTAAAACCAATTAAAATACTACATGATTTCTGGTACCTAGAGTAATAGAAAGAGCATCATGCATCTTACACTGCATTTAATAAAAATCATAAACCCCATCCTACATTTTATCTACTTCGATTTCTTTAAGCATTGCCAAAAAAAAAAAAAAATAGAATTAAAAAAATAGTATCCAATAAGTACAGCTATACAATATAATTATTGCTCCTATATCAACCACTGGTTTGCCACCTTTTAACACTCCTGTAATCTTTCACAACCTATTCTAATCATACAAACCTAACCTATTCTATATAAAAATGCAGCTGCATGTCAGTAAACTCTGGAGGCTTCTCAGTGTTAAATTTCTTACTGTCCTTGTGGCCTGAGGTAGAGGAATAACTGCTGGTAAGGCAAAAAAAGAAAGGCATAACAAAAAATAAATTTCTTGGCTTGCATGGAGTAGTTTAAACTATTCTCTCTGACACTCAGGAAAAGAAAACTAGATAACACCACATATTCTATCGAGTGAAAAAAAGAAAAAATACTGGAGTCATAAATAAACCAAAAATTTTGCAGGGCCCATGCTAAAGTAGGGTTCTTTGCTGTGACATAAAATTATTGTCCCAACAAGTACACAGAGTAAAGCAGTACCAATCCGAGGTTTTTCTGTCTGGTTAATGTTTCTGAAGTGCTTTGAGATCTTTGTGTGGAATCTCTACACAGCTGCAAAGCATTATTGGTTCTCTTGAATTCTGTGATTAGTGTAAAACATGACAAATATCATCCTTGTTTATGCACTGCATCTAAACGAACTTTTGCTCCATA